CCGGACGCCTGGCAAGGAGCTGCGGGCCGCGCTCGGTGGCGGCTGTCGGGGTGTCCCTGTGGCGAGGGACGCGGTGCAGAGGGGGTGGCCGTGTGCGGGTACCCTGCGGGGTGGCGGGCAGCGGGGCCCGGCGGTCCCAGGGCGGGCACCCCCGGGGGTGCTGGCTCTGGCCTCAGAACCGTCTCTGCTCCACAAAACGCGCATCCTCAGGAGCCGTGCTTCCTCCTCCGGCTCTGGAGGGTCAAAGCCGACCTGCTGCCGGCACCGTGCAGGAGCCACCGTGCTGTGGGTGCTGTCGGTGCTGTCGGTGACGGCTAAATGTCCAATTCTGGGTTCTTTGCCCATTTCGGAGGCCAAAAGAAAGCAGCTGAATCGCCTGGGCTGCCCCTCAGCTGTCTGGTGACTGCTGATCTTTCCAGTTTAGTTGTAAACTTCCAAAGAAAAGGTTCCGATCATATTCTCCCCGTTAACTTGGAAACGCTCTTCAGGAGCGTTGCCCAACAATTGGTTTTAGTGTTTTTGTGTAACAAAGTCTGGGCATCCACCTGTGTCTTTAAAAACATGTAATGTTAGAAAAAGGGAAAATCAATGTTGTTATTATAGTGGAGGGTGCTTTTATAGACACGCCTTTTGGGTGACAAGCAGCAGATGACCTGTGTGTAGCCCTCAGAGCAGGATAAGGGGAACTACCCCAAGACCAAGTAGCGGGTGCAGATCTTTCTGAAGGAGGAAGGCCACCTATAACTGCAACGTCCACGCAGGGCAGGAGGGACTTTGGCACCCGTTACAGAGTTGACAAACTACCCTATGAGCCGGAGGGAATGCTCAGCGAATGAATTTGAGGGTGCCTTTGAGATTCTACTAACGATTTGTTCTTTACATACTGCCTCCAAAGCACCCACTACCGTAGCCATGCCGAGATGCTTCTGTGATTAAGCAGAACCGCACTCGAAGCATGTCAGGGTGCTGTGCTTCTGGAGCAAGGTAAGAATGATTTTGTAGTGATCTGGGAAGATGCTGTCACAGAGGATGCTTCTGTGACAGTGAAAAGACCGAGTGAAAGAAGCAGAGGATGAGTAAAAGCAGCTGTGTGGGCTGTGTGTAATGATGCAGCTGACACCGCTGGTACCTTTTCTCCGTGCTCCCGTAACCACCTCTGTTCCGTCCTTCCACAGCACAGGCAGCGTCTGGAACCTGTCCTCAAAAGCAAAGCTACTCCCTCAAACTTGTGAGTTTTGATCTGTTTGGGTAAGGAATAGTGCGCAGTGTGCTGTGTCCAGGGACCGGCCTGTTTGGCCCAAGGGTGTCTGAGGAATTTGGAGAAAGCGGTCACGGAGGCCCCTTCTAGTTCAGGAGGTGGATATCATTTCCTGAGAGTGTCGTGCTTGGATTAATGAAGTTGGCTCTTCCGCTAAAGGTGTGAAGAAAATAGATACGAGGGTTAAAAAAAAATAAAATGAAAAAACCTTCATCACAGAAGGTTACCTTCTTTGATCTACCAGGCTCAGTAATCCCCAAAACTGAATTTGCTGGTGTAATGTGGTGATTTTGATTCATTAACGTCAGACCTGCTTTTCTGCTGTATGGCAAACGTGCTGAAGTCTGAGGGAACTGGAGAGGCTAGAGCTCGGTGGCTGTGCCAAGGCAGTGTGAGGAACCAGCACTGAGAGACTCTGTGAGGCCAGAGCACGTCTTTAAATCAAACAATAATTATAGTTGGAGTTCCCAGCCAGCTTTCTAGGCACTGCCAAACCTTGGGTTCTCCAGAAACGTGCTGTTTCCAGAAATAGCTGTTCTGTGATGGAAATTCAGTTGATTGATGTTCGGTAACTCACAAACCTGAGCAGAAAGGCTGTTTTCTTGTCTGCTGTGGTTCTTGGGAGCCTGTGGGAAGACCAGTGATGACTGATGGCTCTGGGGGGCACCTGGTGGTGCCCGCTCTCCCAGGCACTTAAAAAACCCCTCTCCCTTTTGTGAGAAGAGACATTTAAGAGGATGGAGAAAGAATACAGTGTTAGCGAGAAAAGCCAGTGAACTGCCACAAAACTGGAGGCAGTAGGTGGGACATTGCAGTCCCTTCTGGACACAACACCCCCAACTCCTGTATTTTGCACCTTTGCCATCTCTTGGCGTTTTGCTCGGTGGTTTTCTGACGGCACAGCCCAGCTCTTGTGGTGGCAGATGACTGTGGGAGGGGACGTGGCACACGAGAGCATTGTAGCTCCTGGGTTTGGTGGCTGGGCTTGGCTCACCGGGCAAGGTGCAGAATAAAATCTGCTCTGGAAGGTGATTGGTGGTGTTGCCTGGAGCCTGCTGGTCCTCCAGATGCTTTGGAAGGTTGTGGGCAGGGCCTTTGGTATCAAACCCACCAGGATATAAACCTGCTGCCTCCTCCCCTGCACAACAGCATCTGTCCAAGTTAGCTGGTGGTGTGCTGAGTATGTATATATGTGTAGGGAGGCAAAAATATACATATTGACTGTAAACCATATGCATTTCAGGTCACTTGATAAAGCAGTAGTAAAAGGGCAGTAATGATTACTGGTTTAAAGTAATCACTTTGTCACTTTGTGACAGCTCGAATGAAACATTGCAGTTCTTTGTTGGGGCTCGCCTGTTTGCAGAAATAACCTCTGTGCTGTGGATAAGAAGGTTCCCTTTAAAATAACAGCCTTGGGACTAGAGCTTGCCCCAGGTTGCCAGATGGTTGGCATTTTAGCTCACACACAGATCTAAGGGCGAGCGTTTGCGATGTCCAGCGTGAGGCAGCTGCTCCCTGTCCTCTGCTGGTGCTCAGGGTTTGTGTGGTTGTTTGACACAGCATTAAATAGTGAACCAAAAGACTCGAGCTCTGTTCTCAGTCCTGTTGCTGATCAGGTGTTTGATTTTTTTTTTGGGGGGGTGGGTTGTTAAAATGAGTAGGGAGGGTCTTGTAGCAATGTTGCCCAAGTTTCCCTTGTTAGCAAGGTGCGTGTGCCTGAAGTAGTGCTTCTCCTTCGTCTTCCCTTTAGGATGTCAAAGATGGCAAGATCTACAATGAACAGAACTTCTTCCAGCGAGCTGCCAAGGCGGGCACAGGTTGGTGCTTACTGGAAGGGCAAGGACTAGGTCGCTTGTTAGGAGAACCACCATCCCTCTCTCACCGGTTACGTGAGTCTCTCAGAAGGCCAGGCCAGGCCAGAATAAACTCATTCTTTCCTTGGTGGGTGCCAGAGCACTGAGAAGTTGGGCCAAGTCTCTGTGCACCTTAGGACACTGCAGTGCTGGCAGCTTGAAGCTTTGTTTGCTTTGTCTTCATCTCACTGGTGGCTGTTCAGCCCTGCAGCCTGACCTGCCTCGGCCCCCCCTCTCTCCTGTGCCCCTTCCATGGACCTTTCCATCAGCTGCTGCCTGGTGTTGGCTCCAGTGGCCCAAAAACCTGAGCCAGAGCAAAGCTGAGCAGAGAACGTGGGCAGGCATTTGAGCAGCAGCGATGGAGCAATTCATGGCAAACATCCACTTCTGGCAGGACCCTAAAAATCTGCTTCTCCATCCCTCTCTCTCCCCGCTTCTTGTTTTCCCTAGCGCTGTGGCAACCACGTGCCCTAGCCTGGTATTCCCAGCATCCGTGCTGTCTTGCTCGCTGGCACTATGAGCACTGACATGCTGATACCCCAGTGCACTGGGCTGGCATTTTGGGGATGGAATCGGTATGAGAGAGGTTTCCAGCTGTGAGCTGCCCAGGGCAGAGCAGCCTTTGGGGAAAGGGCATCCCCGACTGAGCTCCTTCCTTCTGGAGCTCCTTAGCAGCGTCTGGCCCACTCTGTCCTCTTCTCTCCCCTTCTAGTGGAGAAGTGGAAGAAGTGGCACTCTGTGCCGTTCCTGGGAATCCCCACTTGCCTTGGCTTCGGACTGCATGCTGATAGCTACAGGTGAGGTGGCTGCGAAGGGCACAGCTGAGCTCTTTTGTCCACAACTGCCATCTCCTTGGGCTTTCTCTCTTCTCTCCTTGCTGTCTGTTACGCCTTTTCTCACTGTCCCCTGGGCTCCCAGCCTTATGCACTGCTTCTGCCTCATTAATTAAATGGTTTGCCTCTCATTATCCTGTTTCCTTCAGTCCTTGTGTTGCTGGTGAAGTCATCACTTTTGTTGCTTCTGCCCCTCAGGCAGGGGACACCTTATTCCTGCCTCTTAAGCTTAGCAGTGTATATCTGCACCATGAGATCAGCCTGTCTGTCCTTTTCAAGGAGTTTTCTGTTATCAAAAGTCAAGGAAGTGTTTGCTCAGGACAACTTGGAGTTGACAGAGGGTCTAATCCAGGCGGATGGCTTGATGAGTGTCTGCTGCAGGGTTTCCAAATCGGGTATTGCTGTGTGCTAAGCCTTTGTTTCTTGTAGGTTTTTGGTGTTCTCTGACTTAGGGCGAACTCTCCAGTCCGTCCTGAACGATGGCTTGTACCAGCTGAGGGAGAAGGCAGCTTTTCAGATTGTTGTCCGGCTGGTATGTAGAGAACAAATACTTTCTAAGAGACTTTTTTCAGAAAAGACCTGTAACTTTCCTCCAAATCTCTTAAAGGTGCTTTAAAGCTGATCTGGTGGGTTGGCCGGGAGCTTTAAGTAGCATCTCTCGAGCCTGTTGTAAACTTGAGTCCCATCTTTTGAGCAGTATCTGTCACCTTGAAGGAATTTGGGGCAAGGGAAATGAGAGAAATGTGACACTTGAATGTTAGAGGCTGTGAGATGGTGCTTTTTGTGCTCCTCCCCACATCCTCCCAGGCATCCTGGCCTGTGTCAGGAACAGCATGGCGAGTAGGGCCCGAGAGGTGATTGCCCACCTGTACTGGGCACTGGTGAGGCCTCACCTTGAGTGCTGTGTCCAGTTTTGGGCCCCCTACCATAAAAAAGACATTGAGGGGCTGGAGCGGGTCCAGAGAAGGGCAACGGAGCTGGTGAGGGGTCTGGAGAGTAAGTCTTGTGAGGAGAGGCTGAGGGAGCTGGGGTTATTCAACCTGGAGAAGAGGAGGCTGAGGGGAGACCTTATTGCTCTCTACAACTCCCTGAAAGGAGGGTGTAGAGAGGTGGGGGTCGGTCTCTTTTCTCAAGTCACAGGCGACAGGATGAGAGGAAATGGCCTCAAGTTGCGCCAGGGGAGGTTCAGGCTGGATATTAGGAAAAATTTTTTCACGGAAAGGGTTCTCAGCCATTGGAATGGGCTGCCCAGGGAGGGGGTTGAGGCCCCATCCCTGGAGGTGTTCAAAAGACGGGTTGATGTAGTGCTGGGAGGTCTGGTTTAGTGATGATGCTCCTTGTTTGTTGTGTGGGTGTCTATTTTTGTCAGTTCGGTTGACGGTTGGACAAGATGATCTTTAAGGTCCCTTCCAACCTAGAAGATTCTGTGATTCTGTGATTGTGGGGAGCTGGGGAGGGACCAGCTTAGTGATAGCTGGGGTGCTGGAGGGGTCTGCCTGGTTCTGATCTGCTCATCTCTTTGCTCCTAGCTAGACTGCCTGGAGTACATTCACGAAAACGAGTACGTGCATGGGGACATCACAGCTGAGAACATCTATTTGAACCCCTCAGACCTCACGCAGGTAGGGAGCAGCAGGAGGGGGAGGTTGGGGTGAGGTGGGTTCCTGCTGCGGGGCAGGGGCGCAGTGGGGTCTGTGCGGCGCTCAGGCCGGGTCGCAGGCAGCTCTGCACGCAGAGCGCACGCCCCACACGCTCGGTCCTGTGCTTCTTGACCCCTCCTAGGTGACCCTGGCGGGGTATTGCTTTGCGTTCCGTTACTGCCCCGGGGGGAAGCACGTGGCCCAGCGCGAGGGCAGCAGGACCCCTCACGAAGGCACGATGGAGTTCATCAGCCTGGACAGCCACAAGGGAGCGGGTGAGTGTCTGTTTCTGACACAGCTGGGGCCGTTCCTGTGGCTCCCCGAGGGCACTTCTGTTACTGCTGCTTTCCAGGCATTCACAGACACCTGGAAACAAGTTCCTATTTGGGCTGTTTCCTCTTGCCTCTCCCTGGTGCTGTGTCAGGACTTGCCAGGTCACACAGCGACTGCGGCAAGAGGTGCAGGGATGTTCCTGCTCCATCTGGAGCCTTGGCTGCAGTGGGTGTGTAAGGAATAGAAAACGGGGATCTGTTCCGAGCCAGACTGGATCCCTGCCCAAAACACATCTGCAGCAGGCTCTGCTCTGACCTTGAAGCAATGAGAGCTGGAAAGGCATTAAATTAGCTGGGTCCTCTGATGGCTGGGATGTAACTCTTCTCTCCCAGTGCTCAGACTGGGCAAGTCTCACTCCAGAGAATCCTAGAATGGTTTGGGTTGGAAGGGACCTCAAAGCCCCCCCAGTGCCGCCCCCGGCCCTGGGCAGGGACACCTCCCACCACCCCAGGTTGCTCCAAGCCCCCTCCAACCTGCCCTTGAACCCCTCCAGGGATGGGGCAGCCACAGCTTCTCGGGCCAACCTGGGCCAGGCTCTCACCACCCTCACACCAAACAAGTTCTTCCCCACAGCTCAGCTCCATCTCCCCTCTTTCAGGGTCAAACCCTTCCCCCTCCTCCTAGGGCTCCCCTCCCTCATCCAGAGTCCCTCCCCAGCTTTCCTGGAGCCCCTGGAGGGGTCTGGAAGGGGCTGGAAGGTCTCCCCGGAGCCTTCTCTTCTCCAGGCTGAACCCCCCAACTCTCTCAGCCTGTCTTCACAGCAGAGGGGCTCCAGCCCTCAGAGCATCTTCATGGCCCTCTGCTGGACCCGTTCCAACAGGTCCATGTCCTTCCTGTGCTGAGGACTCCACAGCTGGACGCAATACTCCAGGAGGGGTCTCACGAGAGCAGAGCAGAGGGGCAGAATCCCCTCCGTCGCCCTCCTGGCCATACTTCTTTTGATGCAGCCCAGGATGGGGTTGGCTGTTTGGGCTGCCAGCTCACGTTGCTGACTCGTGTTGAAATGGGAAGTGATTCCTTAAATGTACGAGTTAACGGGCTTCCAGAACTATTGATACCCTAGATCTCTTCTTAACAAAGCTCTTGCGTTTCTTTACTTCTGACTCTTAGTCTTCTGAAGCTGCCTGTTTTACAGAAGGGGCACCTCAAATAGAGACTTCCAAGGTTGTGCAGCAAGTGCTGGAGCCTTACATGCCGTTGGAGGAGAGGCATTAACCTGGGCCTCTCTGAGATGATGGCTCCCAAACTCTTTGTTTTTCACACATGAATATCTCTTCCTTCCCACTAGGACCATCTCGCCGGAGTGACTTGGAATCGCTGGGCTACTGTCTTCTGAAGTGGCTCTGTGGCTTCTTGCCTTGGTCTGATGAGCTGGACAAAGTAGAAACTGTGGTGCAGAAGAAGGAAAAGTAGGAGAAATCATCTACTCTTTTGGGAAATGCTCAGCAGAAAGCAGTGAGGGAGGTTTTGTGACTGAAAAGAAATCACTCAGTCATGGTACACTGTTGGGATGTGGGTAAATCCCACAGTAAAGGCTGAGCTTGGCCAAAGCGTGTTTGATGAACCCTCATTTCTGCTCCATTCAGAAGTGGCGTCTGAATTCAGGCTTTTTTGGGTTTTTTTTGCCTCTGTTGCCAATGACAGGCTGTTGAGGTGCCTGCTCTGTTGCCTCTCACCTGACAGCACTTGTTATTTCAGGTACAAAAGGGATGTGCCTTGCCTTCTCCGAGCGTGCTTCAGGCAGAAACCTGCCCCAGGTACGGGCTTGCTCTCTGTGACAGCGGGGCTTGGGGAAGGAGGAGGGACTGCACCTGGAGCTAGAACCTTCTCTGTGCTGGGGCACTAGTCCAGGATGGCTTCCACTGGCCACGGTGCCCAAGCAGTGCATGGACTGGTCGACAGGCTCCTCCTGTCAACAAATCCCTTATTTTCTTCACAAAACAAGGAGGGCTGTTGCCCATTTTCTCTATTCACGAGCCTTGCCGAAGAGGCGAGTGTTCTGGTTGCTTTAAAATTGCAATTATTTGGGCAAGAGGTTATTTCCCCATCCTGTCTTTGAGCTTTGCGTTAGCCTCTGGGTTTGTTTTCCTCTCTCTGGAGGTGGTAGGGCAGGTGGGTAAGCTGTCCCCAGGGAGAGCAGTCTGAGGCCGTTTGTCACCTTTGTAAGGACAACGGGGGCTGCTCCGTGCAGTCACGGCCCTTGCTTTGCAGACGCCCTGCAGAGGTACCTGCAGCAGGTCATGGCACTGGAGTATGAGGAGAAGCCTCACTACGAGGGCCTGCGGCAGCTCTTCAAGAAACCACTGGAAAAGATGAAATCTTCAGCTTATGACCCTGTGGACATCAGAATGGTGCCCTAAGTAAGTGCCACAATGGGCTTGTCCCCCTGCGCTGCTGGGAGGGCAGGAGCAGGATGGTGCAACTGCCCTGCTTGGGGGATGCTGCCGGTGGCATTTGAGGTGAGAACAGAGCAGGGTGGCCTGAAATCTCTCCTGGTGGGACCCAGGGGCTCCTCCTGACATGTGGAGGGAGCACTGGCCCTTCAGGAGTCCCAGAGCTACACCAGGCCAGGTTTAGCCTTTGTTTCCTCACTTTTTTTTCTGGAAATCCTTGTCCTTGGAGGAATACTTGGGTTGACAAAGCAAAGGCTGAACAGGCTGCAGGGGCTGGAGGTGCTCACAAAATACAGACTGGTGCAATCTTGTCCTTTTTTCATTTTTTTTTTTAAAGAACCAAGGTTCTGGGGCTGTATCTTTTGTGTTTCCAGAGCTTGTAGTTCTGGTTTTATTGCCTGGGGCAGTAAGTGCTGCCTCTCTAGACCCACGTGCTCCATCTTATCCATGAGGCACCTCCAAGATTGAGGTTTGATAGAGACAGATCTAGTCCAGGGCTGCATCAGCCAAGGCCACTGGATGGAGCAGCAAACCCCAGGAACATGGAGACAGCACCTTGTCATCTGCTTTGCTCTTGGGAAGGACTCAGAACTGATAAATGTTCCTATTTTGTGCCTTTTCTTTCAGACCAAGAAAACTTGCACAGGAAAAAAGAGCTCAAAGCTTTCTGCACTTTCCCGCAGATATTTAATTTTTACCTACCTGTTTTAGAACTGAGAGAGAGTTTTTATAAGTTTTTTCTTCCAATTTTAATGTGATCCGCTGCTGAATTTTGAGCCACTGCTGTAACAAGTTAAATGTGATGACACTCCTGGATGGCAAGTCACTGTGAGCAGTAACTGGAGAGCTGCAGCATAGCTACTGGGAGAAGGGTGAAGTCTGGCACAGGAAAACTAAATCAGGGACTTTTTTGTTGTTTTTTTCTTTTTTTGCTTTAACTACAGCAGCAGTACATAGTTTTGTAATAAACTTTGTGGACAAGCACCCAGACTGCTGTTAGTTGGTTATTTGGCACGTTCAGTGCCTTTCTGGGGCAGCTGTAGAGTTGTGATGGTGTGTTGAGCCCCATGCTCCTTCTGCAGGATGTTCTCCAGCTGCACTTGTATTAATGGAGAGCACCTCCAGACAGTATTTAATCATAAGAATTGGCTCAGAGTTAAACTCTGCCTTCATCCCCAAACATCCCACCAGTTCTCCCGGCCCCAGGCCAGTGAGATACCAGACAGTGAAGTAAGACAGGGAGCCATCTATATTAAAAAAAGTTTTATAAAAAAAGTCACTACACTGCATGTATCTGAACTGTTGCCATCTGCCCCAGTAAGTTCTAAACAAAGGAGGAGTCATGGAGTCCAGTTCCAGTGTTAAATTCAGCGACATCTCCTGGAAGTCTTGTACCTTTGATTCATTACTCACTGCCTGGGTGTGAAGAGAAGGCTGTTTTCCTGGCGGTCACAGGCTGAAGGAGCGTTAACCCAGGCTCGCTCAGCTGAGGTTAAACTGTTACTGAAGCAGCACAGGTTTTGTTTTTGATCAGAAAAGCATACGCTGCCCTTCGAGATTCAGGGTTTCAAGTAGGACAGACTGACTGCCCTTCTGCATTGCTGCCTGGTTCTAGTGTTCAAGTGATTCGTGCTTTACTCGAGGAGACGCTCATGGAAAGAGCAAGGAAGACTTGAGACAGGACAAGAAATGGAGCTGGAGGTGGTGGTTCAACGCCACTGTTCCAGCAGAGACCAGCAGCTCACAGAGATCACGACACTCTAGTACTGGGCAGTGAAGCATTAAGGCACAGGAGGAGGATTTTTCAGGCAGGGGAAACATGGCAGTTAGAGCCTGAGGCAAATGGGGTTTAAAAACCATCTGAGAGGTAGGTAAAAAAGAAGCTCAGACCTGCAGTGAGCCTTCATTTACCTCTTGATTGTATATGTTAAAAACCTTGTATCAGTGCAGCAAATGGCATATACATGGAAGAGGGAAGCACCAGCTGAGTGAGACAGACAGTCCCTGGCCAGAAAGAAAAGGCAGAACCTCAAAAAGATCAAGTGGAAGAATTCAAGCATAGTGTTACGTCCAGTAACTTGAGATCCAAAGTCAGTTCCTTTCTTTTATAGTGCCAGGCCTCACAGCGAAGCAAGGGACACGACAAGTTCCTTTCTCTCACCAAGGAGTAACTGGTGAGGTATGACAAAATGTGCTATAAAATTTCCTATGATGTGGAGAAGAATCTTAATTTGCAGAGGATTAGACGATAGGGAGTACTTTAAAAAGACAGCTATCAAGGAAGAAAAGGGCCCAGAAGTGAGCTACAGAATGAGAGGACAGGCATAGGCAAGGCTGAGAGGAAGGGCTCGTTTTGGAGGTATTGACAATTATTCACTATCATCCCTGTATGACTACAACAGAAATACTGTTTCCGGGACCCCGAGAAAAGTAAAGAGCAGGAAGAAATCAGAGGCTTAAGAAGCCCAAGTTCACCCTTTCTTCACTGTGTTCTGCCACGTTTTTTCGCTTGACTTGCCTTCTGTCACACTTGCCCTCGCTGGGCCCAGCACAGACCGACTGTAAACATGATTCCAGGGACTGGGGCGGGCAGGGCCCCGCGTTCACGGCGCTGCCCAGAGACAGCACTGAGGTAGGTTTGAGAAGTTCCCCGAGGCCACCTTCCACAGAAGATGTAGGGCTGGCGCTGTTGACGGAAGAGTAGCCCGAGCTCCCTTCCAGGTTAGGATTTTTTGGGGTGAGATAGGCTGAGAGGCTGCGAGCGTCGTCCGGCAGCTTGGCCTCCCTGGGCGAGGCGGCCTGCCCAGCCCACCCCAGCGCCGCGTTGTCTTCATCACTGGAGTCCTGGCAGCAGTGCTCCGCCGGGTCCACATACACCACCATCACGTCCAGGATCCCACTGGGACCCGTCACTGCCCGACAAGCAAAGAAATAGGTTAGTTCTCATTTGGGCAACACGAGGCAGAAAAAAACCCCCAAGACTGTAAACCTGATGTCTCCTTACACGTGGAGGGGAGGGTAGAGCACCACGTTCACCCTCATTTAAAACAGTAACTTTTCCCCCCTCTGACTGTTTGGATAGTTCTAAATCTTGTTTAAAAAATGAACAGCCAGTCCCAGAATCAGCAAAACAAACAGATAATACAGCATTTCTAGCACACTGGGCCATTCACCATGTTTGGTGGACGGTCAGCAGTAGCTGAAAACAGTCTCACTCTGAAACACTAAGCAGTTACAACACCCTTCATCATGTGCTGAAGCAGTGTAAAGAGAACAGATATATACCTCTAAAACAGGTATATGTACTCGGCACTGGTGAGGCCTCACCTTGAGTACTGTGTCCAGTTTTGGGCCCCCTACCATAAAAAAGACATTGAGGTGCTGGAGCGGGTCCAGAGAAGGGCGACAAAGATGGTGAGGGGTCTGGAGAGTAAGTCTTGTGAGGAGAGGCTGAGGGAGCTGGGGTTATTCAGCCTGGAGAAGAGGAGGCTGAGGGGAGACCTTATTGCTCTCTCCAACTCCCTGAAAGGAGGGTGTAGAGAGATGGGGGTCGGTCTCTTTTCTCAAGTCACAGGCGACAGGATGAGAGGAAATGGCCTCAAGCTGCGCCAGGGGAGGTTCAGGCTGGATATTAGGAAAAATTTTTTCACTGAAAGGGTCATCAGCCATTGGAATGGGCTGCCCAGGGAGGTGGTTGAGGCACCATCCCTGGAGGTGTTCAAAAGACGGGTTGATGTCGTGCTGGGAGGTCTGGTTTAGTGATGATGCTCCTTGTTTGTTGTGTGGGTGTCTATTTTTGTCAGTCAGGTTGACGGTTGGACAAGATGATCTTTAAGGTCCCTTCCAACCTAGAAGATTCTGTGATATTACAGTTTAACAATTACAACCAATGGGGAAGGGGGAGAGTTTTCCCAACTGGTCTTCAGCTGGAAGTTCAGGCTTCTGTTGCGTGAGAAGCAGTTTTATGCAAAGATGAAAAGACAGTTTTATTTTTCTCATCTGCTTTTTCTAAGGAGAATAAAACCCTCACCATCTCCATCTCTCTCGCCTTCACTTTCCTGATCGCCTTCATAACCAGAGCAGGAATCTAGACTCCAGTCTAGGAAGTTATCTAGAAGACTTTCCTCCTGGGTGGAAAGCTCTGCTGTGGGTGTAGTCACAAAGCTGCCTCTGTCATCCTGAATGCTGTCTTCCCTCCTCCTGCAGAAAGAAAACCCAGAAGTCACACATTAAAAGCTACAACACCCTTCATCGTGTGCTGAAGCAGCGTAAAGAGAACAGATATATACTTCCAAAACAGTTTAACAATTACAACCACTGAGGAAGGGGGAGAGTTTTCCCAACTGGTCTTCAGCTGGAAGTTCAGGCTGCCTTTGCAGCTCTTCTAAGAGATATGTTAATTAAGATGATCACAGAAAAGTTTATACTTAAGAATGGAACCTCAGGGTACCAGAGAGTAAAGGCTCATGCCGATCCTCAGAGACATTTTCAGCATGAGTTATACTCACCTTTTCGTTCTCTTTCCAGAGGGAGAGCTAAGGAAAGTCTGGATTTCCACCACGTTTGTGTGTAAGGGACTGGGCTCTGGGTCCTCCTGTTTCACACCCAACAATGCACAGAGCTGGCTGTAACTCATCATCTAAAAAACCCAAAAAAGCCAGTGAGAATTAGACCACACAAGCTCCTCTGCCAGGAGGCTGTTTCTCTTCATTTTCTCGGAGAAATGCATCCCAGTGAGTTGCCCCCACATGAACTCAACCCGAGCAATTATAGCCCCTGCAGGTCAAGTTTAAAGCCACCCCTTTAATTAGATACCCTCTCCTAAAGTTAGAGCCCACTTCCCATGACTTGGAGTTCGCTGCATCCTGCCGTGTGCTGGCTTTTCTCTGGGTATCAGACACCAGCCAACGTAGACAAAGAGCTCACCCACCTTTTCTTTGCCTATTTCTTCATAACGCTCGTCTTCAAATCGTTGTTTCACTGCAGTTAAGGACACCTGCCTGTAATCCTTTGGGACATCATCATGGAAACTGGGAAAAAAAAAAAAGATTAAAGTCCTAATCTTAGAATGAATGATATGAAACAATGTTAACAAAACCTGCCAGTTTTAAGTACTTTCCCTCTGTCCATCTCAGCTCCGTGCTAAGGGAGTTGGTGTCTCCTCAGAGCTGCCAAGCAGTTAGTCAGGACACTCTGTTTCTAAGCACACGAGCATCTAACTCCTTTTCTTTTCCTTGAGGTAAACAAGATATTTGCCTTGTACCCCTTTAAAAAAAAAAGTCTACTTTTGGTACAGGAACTCCTTCTGAAGCTCACCAATAAGCCAGTTGGAGTCTTCTGAAAATAGTGGTTTTCAGCAAGCTGAAACCTGTTAAGCCTTGAGGAGCATCACATCTTCTGTAGCCCAGGGCCAGTACCAGTTTGAGAAACAGAATTGCTGTCCCCTGAACTGGCCTTGTGGTGGGGGGAGGAAGTTTCCCAAAGCTACCTCCTTCCTTGGGAAGGGCTGACTGTGTAGATGCAGCCCATCTACAAAAGCTGGAATCCAAGTACTCATGTGCCCTCCCAAAAGAGTTCCAAAATCATTACCACTTTTGGTGGAGGCTCAGCACACAGGGCAGCAGGTCTTCAAGAGAGAAACCGGTGCACTCAGACAGCTGGCTGGTCCAGGGGTGTGCTACAGGAGAGAATACGTATCAACAATTCATGAAGGTTGGCAGTTCTGTTATCACACAGATTTTATTTTTATATTGGATAAAATCACAGAATAGTTTAGGTTGGAAGGGAACTTTAGAATTCACCTAGTCCTCCCCCCCTTGCAGTGAGCGTGATCTTTACAAGCTCATGCCTGCACATGGTTCATTCAAGTTCAGTTTGGCAGGTAAACCTGTCCTTGAAGCTGATTGTAAGTGAGACTGAAGGTATAACTTCAAACACAGAGCTTGCAGTCTGACACTAATGCTCTTGTTCATCATAGCTATTGAGAGGTAAAACAGACTGAATTCAAATCTGCCCCCTCACCCAGCCAAGTGACAGGGACATCTTGCCTAAAGACAAAATAACACCAAAAAACCCCTCCAAAAGCTCCCTAAAAAAGACCAAGCAGCCTGAGATAGGGTGCTGCAGGCAGGGCAGGGCTCCTCACCTTGCCTGTGCAGTATCCTGGCCAGCAGCAGCGCCGCCGCCGCCAGCTGAGCCGGGGAGTACACGCAGAGGCTGGTGTTGAGGAGGGACAGCTCACAAATGAAGCTGTAAAGGTGAAGGGTCCTTCTCTCCAGGGAGACCACGTTTGACAGCACTTCTTTGTAGTCCACAATGGTCGGTATCTAGCACATAAAGGAGAGCAGAGGTTGGCAACAGGAGACGAGCACCAAGTATTTAGAACAGTTGTTTCCAGATGCTGTTTTCTTTACATTAGGGTTTGGTTGGGTTTTTTTTTGTTTAACTACACTGTCATTGAAAGGTTTTTTTTGTTTAACTACACTGTCATTGAAATATTCTCCAGTGAAAGAATAAATGGCCTCTTAAAACTCAAGTTTTTATCTCCACAGAAAGGCAGAGGGTTTTGAATCTGCATGCTTTGACACGTACATGGTGTCCTCAGCTGAGAACACTCGCATAAAACCCCAACATCTTAGATAAGGTGAAGTGCTCATTACAAGAGCCTGAGTTCAGCAGCAGTCCCAAGGGGTGAAATATTCCACCCACTTTCCAGACTCACCCTTATCTTTCCTTCTAGGGCAGAAATGATCTCACCCATCATTCTGACCAAGTCTTCATATTTGTACGTGTTGTCTGTTAGCCACACAGCTTCCCGTATCGTCAAGATCTCTTTGCTGATGAAACTGCAACATTAAATATTAAGTTAGCCCCAGAAGAAAGGGAATTTGTGCACCTGTGCACTAATGTTTTTGTGGCAGATAAACACACCCAAGATGACCAAATTGTTAAACAACTTTACAAGGTACTTGTTAAATAACTTTAAAAGGTACTTTCCCAAGTACAGACCAGGAAAGAACAAACAATTGGCTTTTCATGTATTTCATCTTTAAGCTGGAACCACCTACTGGAACATTCCTAATTCCTCATTTATGAGAGCTCTCTCCTAGGTTAATATGCAAGGTATTAAGGAAATTAACAGAGAAGAGTAGTTTTCTACCACACCATGTGGTTCATTTGAGCATAACAGATGGAACTAGGTAACACCACCACTGCAGTTGTTCCTTACAGGGTTACTTGTGCTGATATGGCATGAAAGATTTCAGTTGCTGATGCATTTAGACCAATCCACCACTACGGAGTTTTTTTCATATTTATAAATATGTTCAAAGAATTACATTTTGTGTCTCATTTATAGAGATTGTGTTTGTACATGAACACAGGTCCAGCAACAGTCCATGTAGAGGGAAGCCAAAGATTCATTCCAGTATTATTATTAGGAAGGGTGGAAAAAAAAAACCCCTTGAGCTGCCGAAACTCATTTGGATGATCACAATAAGCGTCTCCGGTCACCAGTCAGAACCCCTACCGTGTGCAAATGACCATGCAGGCTATTCCCAAAAGCTGGAGGCGAGCCCGAGGCACAGGTCTCAGTTTCAAATAACGATCCACGCACGCCACTGTCATGTGAAGGCACAGGCTGGAAAAGTCTTTCATGGTAGCTACTTCTACCAGCCAATCGATCAGGATGTACCTACACAGGAATGAGAGGAACACACAGTCCATGCAGTTAGAAGCCACTCAAACCCGTGCTGAACACTCTCCCCATGCCCAGGCACCCAGTCCCTTCTCCACTCAGGAATTCCAAGCCAAGAAGTTTCACCAAATGAATTTTCAGAAAAATGACACGTTGCGCTGAGAGAAGGATTTGCAACCAGAGGCCTGTTATCCTCCAAGGGGCCAATGATTTTCTTGAGTTGTCTCTGAAATGGAATTAGAAACTATCCTATAATGGGCACTTGCATAAGGAAAAGGTAGGGCATATCAATTAGGAGGCTAAAGGCCTCCTGAGATAACCAGAGAGCAGCTATAGCTCCACCAAGTCAAACGGGGTTCTAGTTCTTGAAGAACTTGTCAGTCTTGCCAGATGCAAGAACTTACAGTCCAGAGAAAACCTCACTCAGCTCATTACAGTTACTCATTGGGGCTTGAAATACGGGCCCTAATATTTCCTCTTTGCAAAGTGTCACGTGTTTCTCTCATTGTACGTATCACAAGAGTAAAGCAAAAGATTCCACCCCCCAACAGCCCTCATTCTAGATTTGTTTCCCCCAACATCTGCAGAGGGGAACAGGCAACGGTTTCTGCCGCGTGGCCTGACTCCTGGCTCTGAGTTTTTACCTCATTGTTTCATTCATTCCTTTCTGCACAGTGAAGATACTTTGCTTGCTGACAGGGAGGGAAGCTTGAAAGATTTGAGACACCACTTCACTGGAAGATTTAGCTTCTAATCCTAGTTGGCTTCCATTCCCACAAGCTTTGGCTAAAGCTATCTGTAGTAGAGAGAACACGAAAAACAGTCGGTTTGATTTTTTTTTTTTTTGCCAAATGCAAACTAAAGCAGAGCAGGATGGTCCTGCAATTTTCCTACTGAAAATGGAGACTGAACAGGACAAGCTATTCAAAAGGTAATAGAACTGGCAGCTCTAAGTTTAGCTTAAATGTTGGATGCACACATTATTTGGGGGTAGGCTTTTAAGTCCATCAAAAGATGGATCTCAGATTGTACCACAGACATGTAGTATTTTCCAATCTGCAGAGGAATCTGCAGAGTAAATACACACATGAATATATAGATATTATTTCGCAATTTTGACCCTGCTTCTAAAAGACAGTCGTCGAAGCCAACAATGACAGCATAGGAAAGATGGAATGGAAACATTTTTCCTGGGAAAAGTCAGTCTTACCTGTGCTTCCCAGCAGCCCTTTGCTGCATAGTCCCGTAACTTCCTGAGACTTTGGAGGTATCTGCCAGGGTCTGACATCTACAGAGAGGAACATAAAAAGATTTCAAAAATCATTACCTTTACACAATGAACAGAAGGATTGTAGCACCAATATCCAGAAAAAAACCCACTGCCTGGCGGTACATCTATTATTTCAGCAACCAGGCTGTTTCTCATCATGATGACAACGTTGTTTTTAAGAAACTCTCTGCAGTTGTAGCCCAGTGTCTCACAGGAAATGAGGCAGGTCACTGGGGATTCCAGCGGGAGAGCTTTGGCAGATTTATTGGTGACAATGTGGGCACAGGACGGGGGGCACTGCCTCAGGGAGCCCACGATTACCAGCCAGCGGTGCCTGTAGGGGTTAGTGTAAAGGAACTTCTGCTTGCACCTCAGCTACAACTGCTCGTGGCCTCATCTACCTAAAGCACCAAGGCAGACACCAAAGCCCATTTGAGAGAGTTCTCTCCCTGTTTATGAAGGTTTATGTTTATGAACAGCAGTTCCTGCTGTATCTAAGGAATAGCAATTTTGTTGTGTGTTCCTTGCACATAACAGAGGTCCACAAGTTACAAAGTTATTTTGAGACAAAACCATAGTACTTACAGCAGCCTTTCTGTTACTTTCCCAAAGGAGGTAGGAGCTGTTTAAACAACCCTGCTTGGAAGATTCTTCAAACATTTCAAGGGATTCTTTTCTTTTCTCTTCATCCTAAGGACAAAAGGCATGATGGTATTTTTGCTGTCCAACAAATTGGGTGCCAGATGCCAACACCACAGCAGCTGCCCAACAGCTCTCTGCTGAAAGCTGCAGAGCAGAACCAGCCAGTTGGGGGTCTCTTTCAGACCATGAGGGGGGCTCCCACATCCACCCAGTGCTGTCATTTGAAGATCCAGGCTCAGGAAGCAGTTAGGGGTTTTCCTCAGCTAAACAAAAAGCTTTTTGGCCTACTTTCCACTGAGGGATTTTTTATTTATTTATTTATTTAATAATCATTATGACTGGATGGCTTTTCCTTTGAGACCCAAGCACATTGCAAGCCCATGATCAAGCCCAAATTAATGTCACTGTTTATAAAATTCAGTAAACTAAGTTGGTTATGTTCCTTTAAACAACCAGTAAATTAAACTCATGAGAACAGAAATTCCTAGGCCACTTGAAGAATATAAGAGCATTTGGCTGATTTTTATTATTTTTTTTAAAATCAAATTAAACAGCATTACCATCACTAAAAAAAGTACCCAAACAAATGAAATCTGAAACACTGCTCACCTCAAAGAGACTCAAGACCTTAGCCAAGCAATGGAGAATGGATCCTTTTTGAGCCTGAAGAAAGCATTAAGATAAAGCAGTTAAAGATAAACAAAGGATAACAGCCATTTTTGCTGGTAATTCCAGCCTAGTTTTGTTTGCCTTTCAACCATTCCTCATTTTTTTCAATTTTTTGTTATCTTCAAGACTGAATCTCTCAGAAGAGAGAGTACAGGCCTCCGGCATTCATGATCTATCAAGTGTAGTTTGGCAATAAATTTATTGAAATGATTGATCTGCAGTGATTTAAGCAACAAGAGCACAGGAGCTCTTTGGGGAAACAGAAATGTTTTTACCAATAGATCTAGATGCAGCAACTAACCCATCTTAAAGTCAAGGGCAGAAAGAAATCTTACTTTCTCCAGCTGACACTCTGCTTTGAGACTCTCATAGACCACAGCTTTACAGCAGCTTCCACTCAAGGACCAGGGAGGACGGATAAAAAGCCAGATAAACGGGGCTGCGCACGCATTCAAGCGCTCTGCCAGACTGAAGAAATGAGATGCCTTTAATCCATTCACTTCTGCACGACCCTCGTCAGAGATGGACACTGGAAAAAAAGAAGCAAGAAAAATACTTAGAGTTTATTCACAATGTGTGCTTGGAGTTCAGTCAGGCCAAGACAAACAACAGGATGCAATCAGGAAAAGACTGAACAGTGTGTTTCCTTTAGAGCTTTAAAAATCATAGAAATGGCAAAAAAATCTTAAGTGGATTTTTTGGACTAGTAAGAAAAACATCTTACTACAATCAGTCTTTATGAATGTATAAGCATGCTCTGCAAGGAGGCTCCTCCTGGCAATCATCAGTCCCTTTGATTACATTTATCACACTAGGTAAGCAGCCAAGTTCAACCAGAACTGTACTATGCTTTAACAGCTCAGTGGCCAGTGTTTAAGCTGCACTGAAAGGTAAAACTGAAGAGACATGATAATAAGTGAGACCTGAGCACACACCGAAGGCAGCAAAGCTGGCTCTGCACTTAGAGCTCTGTAAGCAGCCAGTAAAATGGACAACCTTATGGTGAGACAATTGGTTTGATCTGTATCTACAAATAAGCCTTTAGCTCATCTCCATTTCCTTCTGTCACGCCACCTGCCCCTGAGACCCGCGCAGGTTCCACACTTACAGCCTTCGTTGTACAGGTAGGCAATGCCCAGCTTCACCGCAGCCTCAAAGTTACCCCTTTCAGCAGCCCTGGAACAGAGAAGACACTCCAGGTTGAAATCAGTTGGTGCTTCCAGGCCCACATCCTCACACGAGTCACTCTGGAGGCCAGACTGTGAATTTGGTGGTCACCAACCACAACTGATTATGAGCTTTCATATCAGAAGTTAAACATAAGTTGTGCTGAGGGTTTTCTTGCTGCAACCCTTTCATCTGCCAATGTCTAGGGTCATCTTGAAAATTCATTGGAAACATTTCTCATTCCCATGCAATGTCCCCGACACCAGAACGTAATAACATGTTTTGGTTCTTTTACCCTCAAGAACAGGCATCAAACCTTTGTGCTCCTCCCTTCCAAACTGACATGTGCATGGTAGTCTTCTTCAGAAAGAACATAATACATGCATCAAACTCAGAAGCAAAGCTTATCATGACATTTAAACTGACAGATCTCCTTCAAATCAGACAGACAAAAAGACGCTCTCTGTCCTGTTTAAGCAGATTTATCATCATCCTTTCAAACTTCACTCGTTTTAGTACTGAAACTTGGGTATTTGGGGGTGGTGAGAGCCTGGCTCAGGCTGGCCAGAGAAGCTGTGGCTGCCTCATCCCTGGAGGGGTTCAAGGGCAGGTTGGAGGGGGCTTGGAGCAACGTGGTGTGGTGGGAGGGGTCCCTGCCCAGGGAAGCACTGGGGGGGCTTTAAGGTCCCTTCCAACCCAAACCAGTGATTCTGAGATATGCAATGGGCCCTGCCCCAGTTAAAGGCACAGCAGTTATAAGCTGCAGCTTAGACACCAACCCAACAATTCTTCATCACCCTAAGCAAAGACTTCTACAAAAAGGGAAAGTCAGGTTGCCCACATACACAATTCTAATCAGTTCTCACTGTATCTACCTTCAAACATCCTCTTCTACAACGTCAGACAAATTTGATCCTTAAAGCTTACCTTTCAAACATCTTCAGATTGTTCGGAGAAGGCCATATTTCTTGGAAACTTGCACATGCCCAAACACTTGCGTGATTATCCACAAGGTATTTAAGATGTGAGTGCACCTGCCGGGGGGGGAGAGCATAAAATAATAAATACAAAAATAAAGGGACCAGCAGAAATATAGTTCTTTGCAATCTAATTTGAGATGGGTAACCAGGTAATTTGTTCAGCCACAGTGATCTAGCAGGACAATTCCCACCGAAACTTTACACAGAGCACTCAAATACTACTGTGATAGCAAAAAGCTAATAATTATTGCATGTATTCTTTAGTTTTCTTCAGGTCTGCTCTGAAAAGGCTCTGACAGCCTCATCTGTGTGCAGCCCTAGCTTCTCGTGGTGGAGCTGAGCCCCAGCACAGGAGAGGGGAAGTAGCAGCACTCACGGCTCTGACGGAGAGGATGTCCTCAGCAGGAAGGCCTTTCAGAACATGAAAAAGAACGTCCTCAGGCAGACTTAATAGCGTCAAAACTCGGGGCCGTTTTCTTATCCTTCGCTTTGAAGGGAAAGAAAAACACCTGGAACACCTACAGTGAATCACTGGAAAACAAAAGCATGGGACACCTTTGTTAGTGATGGATCCGGAGGAGGAAAAAAGGCACCAGAGAGCGTACACATGCATAAACATGTCTTTACTTGAGTACCTGTTTACTGTGGTGCAGGACACTTCTCAAAGCATATTAATCATAGATTTAGCACATGTCACATAATGCTGTAAGACTAAGCCACAAAGCAGTGACTCATTCAATTTAGTCAATTAAGCTAAGAGGCTCAGAAGCGATGGCTCACGCTCAAGTCTTCCTCATGGAGGAGAATCCCTCTGTGCTCTCACTCCATCATCTGACTGTGTTCAGTTAAACTGTCACTACAACTTCATTTACCACCCCTATGCCTCAACTTTTTCTTCTCAGTTGACAGCAGTCCTTGGAACACGACCAGGGAGATGAGGAAGTTAAGACCAACCAAAACCCCACCTCCCTCAGCAGCCAGCTGCTGCCATGGGTGGTTGTGGAAGACCCCGAAGGGCCAGGGATCCCTTTTTTGAAGTCTCAGCATTCATAGACTAAGGCATCACCTACTTCTTCTGTTCCTCATTAAGACAGATTTTACCTTCTCAGAGAAGCTGTGGCTGCCCCATCCCTGGAGGGGTTCAAGGGCAGTTGGATGGAGCTTGGACCAACCTGGTGTGGTGGGAGCCCTCCCTGCCCAGGGCAAGGGGGTTGGAACTTGATGATCTTTAAAGTCCCTTCCAACCCAAACCATTCTATGATTCACCAAGAGAGGATAACGATCCAAGAGATGAGGCAAAACCAAGAAGAGCACCTAAAAACTGCTCCATGGTAGAAAACCCAATCCCTTTTCCAGCTCCTGGGGACAGCGCAGCATTTGGGCTGCCACCAAGAGCCTGGCCCCCAACACCCGCAGAAGTCTGACAAACAAACAGCAGAAATTCAAACCACTGAAAGGTGCTAGGAAAAAAACCAAAAAAAATAGCAGCACATTCTCCACTTCCAGCCCGCAAGTGGCAGTGAAGGGTCACCCTCATCGAGCGATGCTTGGGTTTAGGAGGACCTGCATCAATCTCAGCTCGTGCTGTAGCTCTCAGAGCCACAGAGATGCCAGCACTGCTCATCTCTACTTCAGCCCCTCGCAGCTCTCAGGAACAAGCCATAGAAGCGACAGAGGTCCATTTCTGAGCAAGGAAAAGGCTGCACGTTTTCTTTGCAAACAAGAGGGCTAAAAAAAAAAAGATTTCTGAAGTGAAAGCTTGAGTCCCACAAAATAAAGGACCACGTTAGGGCCTGTGCCTTTATTACAGAACGTTTCTTGGTTGTGTTTCTCAAATGTGGTTTAAGTCTTATGCAGAGGGATTGTACTTGGGAAATTTATTTACTGACTTTTTTATTTAGAAGTTTAAAAAAAGGCCATAGACTCCCCTAGAGAGCCCAGTACTGCGCAATATGTGTGTGCTAGCATTGCTTATCCTGTTTTCACTGGTTCATTTCTAGCTGGAAGATTTTTTTATCCTAAAGCCAAAGCAGTAGTATAATACATATACCAAACCACCACGCATTACCTATGAAGTAAACCAAGCAAGAGTAGTCTCACTAGATTGTGGGGTCAAAGGCATAAGCTTAGAGGATAAGGCAGCTCAAGCTTTTTTTGGTTTTTTTCTACAATGAAAATAGAAGGCGGCTGAAAAGTCAAGGTGAAGACAGGATTTGAATGAAGCAAATATTTTTCTCCATGAATATTTTTGCTCTTCTACTTTAGGTGCTTACCATCTGGTTATAACCCAACATATGGAAAACCTCATGATCTTATACTAATCTCCAGCTCTTCACACACAACTTCAGTGAGAGGCTGGCGAGGTAACGCGTTGCATTTCTCATTGAGAAGATAAGAGCAACAGCTCTTTCCAGCTGCGGTGAATGGAAGAAACGTACAGACCGGACAGTTACACCCTCCCCTCTCCGAGCACACCAGACCCCAAACTGGGAAGTCTCCAGACTTACAGGCTGCAGAGCTAATACCAAATTTACAGGCAATTTAGTTCAAAACAAAGCGGCTGCACCAGACTCAATTACTCAATGCAGGTTTTTCAGTTAGCAAAAGGGAAGGTTATCTGGGTTTTCAGCAGGGTCTGCGGATTCCTAAGTGCCCCATGAGCCACGGCATCCAACATCTCCCCAGTGGCACGTACCTTACCTGCTACCTGTCTTGGATTGAAAAAAAGCTATCCCATGAATATAAAAAATGTTTTGATGTGTGCAAGGCAGAGCACTGCTGTCCTTCACCTCCTCTTTCACTCTCTGGAGCAAATTTAAGCAGCGTTACTGCCGTAAGAACTGGCCTTTCCACCCTGCTCTGCCCATTCAGCCCGTGTGGGTACGGGAACGGCCGGGGAGAGCGGGCACTCGGGCAGCCCGGGGGAGACAAAATCACATTTCAGAACCCAGGAGGCGGCACAAGGAGATTTTCGATGTGTCGCTTGACAAACTCAGCGCGGTTTAGGCAGGGAGAGACCCCTGGAGCCCACCCGGCCCGCGGAAGGGACCGCCAACAGCGGGCGGCCTGCTGGGGACGGGGACTCCGCGCCCGCCCCGGGCAGCCTATGCCGCCCTTAGAGTAAAAAACGCTTTTTCCTCGCTTGGAGCGGGGCTACCCCGCAGCCCCCCCCACCGTGCCCCGGGAGGCCGCAGCCC